TCTTTCTTAATTTATATTTTATTATTACATTAATTGGGGCCGCAACACAATGTAAGATGAACAAAAGCATCCAGTCGATGTTAAGATATAAACCGAACATATATAATTTCATATTTGTCAATCACGTATATACAAAAATATTGCTGCTTTATACCCGTTAACTTTTGCGTGCAATTGCATTACGCAGATTGAAGTATCGTATGATGTAACCAGAACACATGAATTGTCGGTCAATGTTCGTTCTTCGTAACTAGCCAAGCTAATTGTATCGGTAACATTGCAATATGCTTGAAAAAACATTAACATGCAAAAAAAAATTAGACGTGATAGGCATAATACGACGTGGTTTTAGTCTCAATATATTCTTGATTAAATATATTGTTACGCCTTCGGCGCGGAATCGGCACTCGCGCACTCGCGGAAATAAAGAACTCGGGTTGTAAGTTAAGAAGGTTCAATAGAACACACAACAAAGAACGCAGAAAACACTTCTGTAACACGAATTAGCTCGTCAAAACCGGTGACGCTCGCAAGACGTCCAAACGTCCAACGAAAGCTCGGAGAAAACTCAATACTCAAACACTCAAAGAAAACTCGTTGATTTCGCGCCGTCCTGGCAACGAATAACGATCTTCAATTTCAATTGTTGGCCGTTCCGTATCGATTGGCCGGACACAGCTAGGGACAACGAAACCGAAGGATGTAACAATATCATTAAAACTTTTCCTAAAGTATCAAGCACTTTCAATATCATATGATATAAATGAGCTGTGCAATAAGAAGCATTTTTCTATTTTGCTTCGAAATAATTTTCGCAAAAAAGCATTAGCATGGCACGCGATTAAATATTATTCTACACGAATCAGCACCGTAACTCCAATCTTATTATCTAAAATAAATGCACTGTATAACGTTTTAACCAAAGATATATTCACATAACCAACAAACAATATTGTTAGAAATAGTCGCGTAATAAGTACGGTTTTTATCCTTTCTACAAAGTCAAGAACTGCGTTCTGCTTATACTGTTATTATAAGTTTCCTTTACGAAACGTCAACTCTTTCCTAGCTTCCAGGAAAAAAAACTTCTTGTTCCTTTCCATGTAGAAAAAATCATAAATAGATCTGCACGCAATCTCCTCGAAAGTTTCTCCATACATACATTAGCCGTCTGCTTGACGTGGCTTTTCATTCCCCTCGAAACGCAGGCGCGCGTGAATTATGAATTACGTTTGTACCTAACAAAGGATACTGTACGCTGTTGCGGTCAGTGACGATCAGACACGTATCGCATCAATATCGAGTATTACAGAAGTGTTTCCATACTACATGGTATCATGATACTATAAAGTGGAAAGTCTTCGTATAAGAAATTGTAAAAATCAACCTTTCAAGATGGTTGCTAACAAGAATTACGAATACGACATAAAAAACGCTTTCGCGATGAGTCGCTTCTTTTTTCGCTTGTTAGGCATATGGCCATTTGCCCGCACGAATTCCATTTATCTGGAACTGATAGAGACAGTTACGTTGACTTTTCTGTGTATCGGTCTTATCGTGTGGGAGACGATCTCGACTCTGCTGTATATGTTCCTAATACTGACGGACTTTCATTTGAGGCTGAAATTCACGGGCTGCGTGGTATACTCGCTGGTAGGACTAATCAAATACGGCTACCTGTTGCTTTACAAGAATCAAGTACGAAACTGTCTAATGCTGGTCGACGAAGACTGGCGAAACGTCGTCAATCCAAGCGATCGCATCGCGATGATCGACAGAGTCAGAACTGGAAAACGTCTGATTCTGATATGCGCGCTATTTGCATACCTGACCGGTCTGACTTTCCGAATAGTCATGCCGTTGTCACTGGGAAAGATCGTTACTCCTCAAAATGTCACTATCAGACCATTACCGTGCCCGGCATATCTCGTTATACTTGACGTGCAGCGTAGTCCCACTTACGAAATCGTATATTTCTTGCAAAGTGTCTCAGGATTTTTGAAGTACACGATTGTGATGGCAACCTTTAGTTTCGTGACCATTTGCGGGATGCACTTTTGCGTGCAGTCGGAGATACTCGTGACGTTAATGAATGATTTCGTGAATGAGAGTCGACCGGAAAACTTGAACAGGAAGTTGGCCACTGTCGTAGAGCATCAAATTAAAATAAGGAAGTGAGTTTTTTCTTGCGTACAATAATGAGGTCCGTTTGCTGATTCTTTAATGTAATTCTAACTTCACTAGAGACTATGTCAGAGCTTAATACGTGATAGGTTCTACGCAAAATGGGTAACGTGTCATTGATTATCGAAAAGATATTGAATTAGCAACTGATAACTTTTGTTAAAAACGATTTTCATAGTTTTCTCGTCATGCATTTTAGTTTCTTACAAGTGGTGCAGAGTGCCACTCAATATCCAAGTTTAACAGAAGTCCTGGGGTCTACTTCCATGCTATGCCTCGTAGGATATTACGTGATTATGGTACGCAGAAATATTTACGTATATAACACTGAGTTTTAAGAAAAATATACATTTAGATAAAGTGACATGGCAAGGTACTCTCTGCGTTGTGGTGTCACATTGCATAAAAAAAATTAATAAGATTGTTCAACTTACAGGAATGGGAAAATCATAATATTGTTCGACTGGTCTCATTTATCATTGCGCTAATA